AAACGATCATTGTGTTTTGTTAGTTTTAAAAACTTTTGATATATTTGTATTTTGCATTATAAGCAGTCAACCGATTGACAAACTAGAATTATTTGAACACCGTGTGGAAAGAGGTCGGATGAATTTCGAGTGTTATCTGCAATCTAGATGTTTATAAATCATTTCAATCGTTGATATAATAATTAAAGGTCGACTGAACATGAATTATATTATACAATTTAAAGCGCATTTCTGTTTATGCAAGTGAACCCGTCTAACGTTATTGTTATTTCGCAGTTATGTAAAGTAGCAAATTATCGTTCCTGAATAGGTGGCGCAGTGGTAGCCGATCATGTTCCTCAACTTCCGGTTTCTGCACTGTGCAACCGTTACATTTTTAATTAACGTTGCCAAGTACTTGTTGTGTACCTGGATGTCATTTAAGAGGAGGACATGCATTTCCAATTGACTTAAAAAGAAGGAAAAGTTGGATCAACGCCATGGCCCATACGCAGATTGGACGAGAACACGATGAAATCGTGGAGTCCATCTCAATCAGCTGTTGTTTGCAAGGAACATTTTACTGAAAAAGACTACGTGCAGGAAACTATTCATGGTAAAACTCTATTTTCTTTTTGAAATATATAGTTATATATGTGATGGCCATGCGAATAAACCAAAGTCTCACTGTCTGTTTACAACCGCAATTATCGTTTTAGAATAAAAGGGGGTGGTCAATTCAAGAGTCATAATTTTTGGGATTACGATTCAATGTGATCTGTTTGAGATTTTTTGGTGATTGCTACAATTATAATGATTTCTTACAAGAGGTATATCATACTGAGAATTATTTTAGAAGTAATTATGCTAATGTAGTAATGACAGGAATGCATAAGCTATGCCTCATAGACTTTCTTGAAAAATATCAATGACAATGTTAATAGGAACAAAACAATGACATGCTCTCATCTATATTATACATGTAGTTATTTAGGTACAAACAATGTACGTTTGTTGCATAAGTCTGTAATTTTTTGTCCTTTGGATTTACATAACATACATTGAATCAGGCAAACATAGTTTTATCCAGATTGTAATGAATAAATCTAACTAATATTTTCCAGGTAGTACAAAGTATACATTGCTAATGGAAGTTCATTTAATTATCAAAAAACTAATGTTTTATAACCTTTTTCAGGGCGCAAACCCACCATACAGAGTCTTAAGTCTACTACCATTCCCAGCCTATTTTCCTGTACCAAGCAAGAGACTGAATCGTCTGCAAAAATAAAAATCAGGGCAGTTTCCTGTGAAAACAAAAGAACTAAACTTGATGAATATTGTAGTTGAAATCTAGAGGAAAGTTTTGATTGTAAAGTTGGTTTTCCTGAAGAAGTCATTCATACTGCAGAAAGGATTTATGACTGTCCACCACCAACTGCCGAGCTGATGTTGAGCTTCACAGATGGAATTACGCAAACACCATCAATGCCTATGTTTTCAGCAGAGAATTTTGAAATGAAGACACGTGACACAGCCATGCATTTTTATACCGGTTTAGAGTTGTATACTAAATTTTATTTGTTTTGACCACAATTGGTCCAGCAGCATATTGTTTGAGATACATATATTTTCAAATTGATAGGGTGTCAGTTGAAAATCAGTTTTTTTATGACTTTGATGAAATTGAGGCATTATACAACCAACTTTGAACTGTCTAGATTGAATCTAGCGTTAAGAATATTGTGTATACATGGATTGTTGTTATGTCTAAACAGTGGTGTGAGGCTAACACTTGGCCATCTAGTGGTTTAGTCAGGTATTTTTCGCCATCCAACTTCAAATTAAAGTTTCCTACAACTTGGATTATTATTGACAGCGCAGAATATCCCCTGATAAAACCTAAAGCTCCTAGAGCTCAGGCAACCTTTTCATCATATAAAAACAGAAACACTGAAAATACTTGTATGTGAAATAGTTGAAAGATGTAGAATAGTTCAATTATGTGATCCAGGTGACAGTGTGATGGCTGACAAAGGTTTAAATGTGCAAGATTTGTTTGCTAACTTTTTTCAAAAAAAGAAACAGAATTAGTTCCAAAACTCTTATACGGGATAGAAAAGTCTCCAATTTATACGTGCACATAGAGCGAATTATTGGACTTGGCAAAACATACAAAATTCTAATAAATCCTATAAATGGAACTGAAACAAAATTTTCATCTGAAATAACATTTAGTTGTTTTATGTTGTGTAATTTTAGAACTTGTATTGTGTCAAAGGATGCATAAATAAAAGTGACGCAATGAATTTTGTTCTGATATATATATATTTACAATTACATGCACATGTAAATTGTAATGCATATAAAAATAAGGAGATGTGGTATGATATTCAGTGAGTTTATCGAACCAAAGTGCATAAGAAATGGGTTTAAGCAGTTACATGTGTTACTGTCACCGTACAATCTCCAACAATGAGAAAAACTCGTACCGTGTAAAAAATTTCAGAGATCTTACAACTAAGTTTTGTTGTCTCACCTTGACTTTGGTGAATTGTTTATAACTGTTGGTGTAAATATAAAAAAGAAGATGTGGTATGATTGCCAATGAGACACCTCTCCACAAGAGACCAAATGACACAGAAATTAACAGCTATAGGTCACAGTACGGCCTTCAACAATGAGCAAAGTCCATACCGCACAGTCAGCTATCAAAGGCCCCGAAATGACACTGTAAAACAATTCAAACAAGAAAACTAACAGCCTAATTTATGTACAAGAAATGAACGGATAACAAATACAATGTATGCAACACATAAACAAACGACAACCACTGACTTGGGACAGGCACTTACATGTACATACAGAATGTGTTGGGGTTAAACATGTTAGCGGGATCCCAACCCTCCCCCTAACCTGGGACAGAGGTGTAACAGTACAACATAAGAACGAACTATAAAAATCAGTTGAAAGAGCTCCGAGGCTTAACTCATCAGATGGATAAATACAAATACAAGTGGACGTGGCCGGGTAGTTGTACATCCAAACAACAAAAAGACACTAAGTACAGATCTGAGAGTACTCGCAGTTACTGACAGCTAGTTCAAAGCCACTAACAACCGATAAAAAAATCTTGCATCTAAGACTAAATTATCAATCCGTAAGCTCCCTTTAGAATTTTATAAATTTTAAATTTTACATTTCTGAGTTATGGGGTTTTATTCATTAAAAAAGGGTTTATTCATTAAAAAAGGGTTTATTAATTAAAAAAGGGGGGATTTTCCAGTTTTTGGACAACAACTCAAAAATGCTTTAAGCAGTTCACATGAAACTTTTGTGAATTATTTATAGCTATTGATGTAATCTCCCTATTGATTTTCATAAATTTCAAATATGACATTTGGTCCATTTTTGCCCCAACTGTTCAGGGTTGGACCTCTGCGGGTGTATCCAGCTGCGCTCAGCGAATCAGTTTATTTCTTAATTAAGAACTCCTTTTTTCGTTCATAAATTATTTTATACTTGGAAATATAATTTTGCTTGGAGTTATAGTTTCTAAAAAAAGTATTGTCATTGAAAGAGTTGACATGTTGCAATGTACATTTATTCTACATAGTTCTCTGGTACCAAATCAAAAGTTAATATAAAAGAAAGAAGTCAAAGGTTTCCCGTCATAGTTTAGTTACATACATTTTTTTTGTAACTGAGGTCGTTGAATATAGATCATTATATAAATAAGGAGATGTGTTATGATTGCCAATGAAACAACTATCACCCATACTTACCAGTAACAAACCACATTTGCAAAGTTGAATAAAATACAGTTGATAACATTTACTTATTACTAAAAAGAAAATGCCTAACTATTTATACAGTATTTGACTATAAACATAGATAAAAAAGGTACAAACTGGACATAATGCTCTAGTTCATAAACAAGTGAGAACAATCGCCTTCATATAGTGCTCAGAATATGACATTCATAAAACTTGTTCAATATCATTAGAGAACTCTAAATCTTAAATACTGAAAGCCACCTCTGATAAGTACACTGTACTATGCAAGATAATGATATAACTGGACTAAAAATACACACAACCTGTAATTAACTGCCTTTACAGCGCTTTCGCGCTTTGATTTATTTCTCTTTGTTTGTTGTGCTTCTTGTCGACCTGATGAGTCTAGCTCTTTCCAACTGAATAACACACATATAGCTTCAAACGTTGCTTCGTATTTATAGATCCTTGGGTTTGTGTAGGTAAATCCAGAAAAGAGCTTCGGGCGCACGAAATTCATAAGGTGTTCTTTTCATTTTTGTGCTGTTATACCACTGTCCAAGGTTCGTCACATTTGTTTTTGGTTTATTGTATTAAGCAAAAACAAGGCCGCTGCTTTTCTTTTAATGAATTGTTTCACAATCTTGTCATTCCGGGGTCTTTATAGCTTTGTTATACACCTTAAAGTGACGTATAGTTGTTGACATCTTTGTCATTCCGGGGTCTTTATAGCTTTGTTATACACCTTAAATAAAGGCAACAGTAGTATACCGGTGTTCAAAAGTCATAAATCGATTGAGAGGAAACAAATCCGGGTTACAAACTAAAACCGAGGGAAACACATCAACAATAAGAGGAAAACAAAGGAACAACAGGAACACTGAAGTGCAACAAAAAAAAACGCCAACATACATAGAAACGAACTATTTGATAACAACTGCCATATTCCTGACTTTGTACAGGACATTTTAAGGAAAAATGGTGGGTTGAACCTGGTTTAATGGCTAGCCAAACCTCCCGCTTTATGACAATGTTAAAAAAATATCGCTAAAATAACAACGCTAAGGGACAGAAATATAGCACAAACACATAATATAATAGTCGACACCACATGCAAACCGCAGAACAACAGCGAACATATTCCATCAACGACAGACATCACAGGAAATCACAAACAGTGACGCGCTTACGTAACTAACATGCAATCTCGAACTTTATACAATTATTTTAACAATACTCGTCCAAACAATTTTCATGACAATAATGTTATGGAAAGGCAATTTTATAATTATTTGGACTACAAACGATAAGACATAACAGATTATCCAGTATATAGAATAAGTATAACAAAATTGATTTCTATAACAATGACTGCATGTCGGTAAACTTTAAGCGAGAAGTAATTATTTTGACTCTACAGTGTAATATACTATTGTCACATATCTTCATTCTGGCACAAGTGTGCATTTTCTACCAACCAATGTAATTACGTCTCCTTGATTTCATTAGATTTAGATTGAAGACCCCTCTGTTTGTCCCATTCTCTAAGTTCCCGTACGGACTGTGGCAGTTCCTTTCCACTGGTTTCTGGTAGTAAAAGTTGTAATAAAGTCGCAACACCACAACATACTCCAAAGATTATTCCGGGTCCCCATTCTATATATGTTGCCTGAACAAGAAACAACAAGTTCATTTCTCATATTGCATAAAAGATGCCAGTAATAATCTGATTAGTGCTTATACTTTTTTAGTTTGTCGTTAAAGTAAAGCAGATTACTAGAACAGTATATATAGCATTTACCCCTCGTAGGTTGACGGAAACATGACATTTAAGATAATTCTTGGACTAAGTTTTGCCAAAATAACATGTCATAATGAAAATAAATCCTGATTGACCAAAGTTTTCAATCTAAATATAAATAATGTTAAAGGACTCGCCAAAATATTTTATCTGATAAAATAATACACTTTTGTCTTCCTATAGGGGAGAATTAGAGCTTGATAAATTGTATTGAAACCTTGTACATTTTAATTGGTTGACCTCTAGATGTGATTTGGTTTTTTGTGTGTCCTTAAAAGTTGCTTTCTCATTGACGTCGACTTCACACGTCCTTTATATATGGAAGTCATCATCCGCGCATAACGTTCATATCGTATTCACGTATTGTGAATCGTCTAAACCCCAAATAAACTGTGAATGAATTCAATAAAAAGTATTAGAGATGTGCATATAGTCAGAAACAAATGATTTGAACGAAAATGCATGCGCATGTTTTTTACTTTTTGATGAGTATAATGTTGTTTAAAGATACGAGTGAGTTGAATGCACATTTTGTTTTCTATTGTTTAATCAAATAGTTTCCATACTTTTTAATTAAAGTATGGACAACAATACATTCAGGGCACGTTGTTATATGACATGTTTTTTTACTGTTCTCTGAGTATCATTTTACTTTTTGCCAACACAATACCTTTAAAACTTACCAACATTGTAGCATATGGTGCTAGCATGCCACCAACTCTTCCTGACATTGATCCTAAACCAATACCGATGTTTCTTTAAAATAATATATAAAAATATATGATATAAGAGCATACTAATTAATTATAGGTTCAGACCACAAATGAAATACAAACATACTTTAAATACAAACTTACTTTAAATACAAACATACTTTAAATACAAACCTACTTTAAAAGAGGGACGAAAGATACCAGCGGGACAGTCAAACTCATAGATCGAAGACAAACTGACAACGCCATGGCCAAAAATAAAAGGACAAACAGACAAATAATAGTACAGATGACACAATATAGAAAACCAAAGACTAAGCAACACGAACCCCACCAAAAACTGGGGGTGATCTTAGGTGCTCCGGAAGGGTAAGCAGATCCTGCTCCATATGTGGCACCCGTCGTGTTGCTTGTGTTATTACAAATCCGGTAAATAGTTAAATTCGGTAAGTCACATTCGTGAAAAGGGAGGGTATTGTAGCTGCGACATAAGGAACATATCCGATATCATCTGTGAAACGGTTATTCCATAACGGTCAACCAACTCGTGATGGCGTCCGTAAAATTTACGAAGGGATGACTTCAACTTCACCATTTGGAACTCTTGGTTTAATAGCTTCCTTGTGAGCAGCAATCCTCTATCAAGGAAATCATGATAGGAAACACAAGCCCGGGAATATCGTATCAATTGGGAGATATATACTCCGTATGCAGGCGCTGCTGGAATGTTGCTACATAGAAATGGAAAGTTTACAATTGGGAAGCTGAAATCATCTCTTCTGTCGTAAAGTTTTGTTTTCAACCGACCCTCATTGTCAATTTCTAGATGTAAGTCAAGATATGAGGCAGACTTAACTGTATCTGTAGTATCCTTTATCTCTAGTTCGATGGGATAGATTCGTTCAACATAGTCACCAAATTTTGTATTATTTAGTGAGAGAACATCATCTATATAGCGGAACGTAGAGTTAAAGGATATTGCTAACTTCTTATCTTTCTTGCTAAGAAGTTCCTGTATAAATGGTTGACACCGATCAAACTTCTCAACTGACGAACATCGTACTGTTTATAGTCCTGGCAAACATCTCAACTGGCAAACATCGTACTGTTTATAGTCCTGGCAAACATCGTACTGTTTATAGTCCTGGCAAACATCTCAACTGGCAAACATCGTACTGTTTATAGTCCTGGCAAACATCTCAACTGGCAAACATCGTACTGTTTATAGTCCTGGCAAACATTCCAACTGGCAAACATCGTACTGTTTATATTCCTGGCAAACGTCTCAACTGGCAAACATCGTACTGTTTATAGTCCTGGCAAACATCTCAACTAGCACACATCGTACTGTTTATAGTCCTGGCAAACATCGTACTGTTTATAGTCCTGGCAAACATCTCAACTGGCAAACATCGTACTGTTTATAGTCCTGGCAAACATCGTACTGTTTATAGTCCTGGCAAACATCGTACTGTTTATAGTCCTGGCAAACATCGTACTGTTTATAGTCCTGGCAAACATCGTACTGTTTATATTCCTGGCAAACGTCTCAACTGGCAAACATCGTACTGTTTATAGTCCTGGCAAACATCTCAACTGGCAAACATCGTACTGTTTATAGTCCTGGCAAACATCGTACTGTTTATAGTCCTGGCAAACATCTCAACTGGCAAACATCGTACTGTTTATAGTCCTGGCAAACATCTCAACTGGCAAACATCGTACTGTTTATAGTCCTGGCAAACATTCCAACTGGCAAACATCGTACTGTTTATATTCCTGGCAAACGTCTCAACTGGCAAACATCGTACTGTTTATAGTCCTGGCAAACATCTCAACTAGCACACATCGTACTGTTTATAGTAAAGGCAAACATCGTACTGTTTATAGTCCTGGCAAACATCTCAACTGGCAAACATCGTACTGTTTATAGTCCTGGCAAACATCGTACTGTTTATAGTCCTGGCAAACATCGTACTGTTTATAGTTCATATTACTTTTATGGCAAACTTAGAAGACTATAAAATGTGGCAGAGTTCAACTTTATCAATCTTCTGTTATACAGCGGAGGTATTGTATAAAAATCGCTATTTTGTCTTTTCATTACCGTAATATGATTTCAGTGCAAAACGAATATTATTTCCTTTATAATCGTGATTTTTGAAATATCAAGTTAGTTGTACATGAATTATGATAAACAAAAAATAGCAAACATGTTATGTCTATAACACAACTGAAACATACATTAAATTTTCAAAGTGTTCAAAATACTCTTGTATTGGCCGTTTATCTGCATATACAAATATTGTGCAGCTAGACTTTTGTCAAAGGTAAATCTTGCCATATTTTGTATGAGCTGTCCCAGGACAGGAGTCTGTAAAACAGTGGATGTTGTTGGTTGCCGTCTATAATATTCTTTTCGTTTATTGTTTTGTACATAAACCAGGCTTTTGGTTTTCTCGTTTAAATAGATATACATTTTGTAATGGCGGGGCTTTTTGTAGCTAACTTAACGATATCTATTTTGCTCATTGTTGAAGACTGTACGCTACCCTATAGTTGCCTACATCTGCGTCATTTAGTTTCTTGTGGAAAGTTGTCTCATTTGCAATCATATCACATCTTTTTTTTTAACATTCCTTGGATTATAAAGACAGTTCTTGCTTATGCCATGCTTTAACTGTACCTTAAATTTGTTGGGTACAATTCTGGTGTAAACAAAAATATCAAACTGAAGGATCCAGTGATTCCAAACTTCCCAATAAAACTTAATATAATGGAGGCAGTTTCGTAATGGTGATTTCTTTCTGTATATAAAATGAACAAGAAATATAATTTTAGTTATACAATGAAGATGCTTAAAATGTTTACTTGACGATGTATATTTAATGTCATAGGTGACCTACATATTTTAGGTGGTTCCTCGTTTTTCCTGCTTGGGCATCGGTCTATTTATGAGACAACATTTCTGTCTTCTCAAAGTATTGATATTTATTAGTCTTACCATAAAGGACTGTTTCTGATCGATCAAAATTACGATCACATGAAGATGAAAATGTTTCCTGTGACAACCTCAAGAATTCACATATCGAGGGTGATACTAGTAATATCACCTGTATAAACATCAAAATATCCATGAGCAGTGATGACAACACATATTAAGTTGACACCAGATGATTTCCGGATGTCGTCTGCAGGTTATTTGAAATTCAATGTCACTCGACTGAAGCTGGCTATCGGATAAATAAACATTTTAAAAATTCAAAGATGTTTAAAGTTCCAACTCCCTCAGTCAAAGTTGACCTTGACATGAATTTTGCTATTTTTATACATACATAGGCCTTATCATTTCTATGTATCTATACAACCCTGTCTTTCAAATATAGATTTGATCGTTCCTGATAAAGGTAAATCCAGAAAAGCTCTTTGAACGCCCGAAATTTATTATTCGTAAATTTTATTTATATCTGATAGTTGTAACGTTACGTACTGATTTTCCTATTTTCTTGAATTTTTGTTACACTCTTTAAATTCTTAAACTTCCAGTCTCGCTTTTACAGAATTCGTGCAATTCAGTTTAGTTTTTGTTTTTTTACCTTGATTTGTATCTACTTTTTTGTTCTATTCGATTAATGAGATTTGAAAATCGGCAAAACACTGTTGCCTAAATTAATGGATTGTTATGTTTTATTAAAACATTTACATCCATCTTAGGCGACGGACATCAGGAATTATCAGCTTATGAGTGCTGTTTTTCCTTGGGCATAAATCCTCGGTAAACTAACAAGTTTCTAATTATAGATGTTCACCTCCTAAAATTTCGTGGTGTATGTTATCTTATCTTAATTAAGCTGTAAGGTTTAGTGACAGTTTTAACATACCTTTCAGAGTATGTAATATAACAGATATAACTAGAGAAATCCCAGCTATACTATGAAATGTAACTGAAATACTTTTTCTTCTGAATCTGAAATGGAAAATAAACCATGTATAAGATGCACAAAGAAATTCACGAAAAAACTTATAAATGACAAAGGCATTCCTGAATTGTTAAAAGGCTTTGCATTAAAGTGTTCTTTGCATAAAAGTGCCTGCAGCTGCTACTCAGACTTCATAAAACGTCACCAGTGTCTGAGCAGAAAGTTGCTGAACCCGAGTAATGTCAAAGAACGTCTTGTCCTTTTTCTAAAAAGTTCATCGGAAGATACCGAGACCTTGTTGATAAATATTCCGTATCAACTTCACAAATAATACAAGATGTTCTTGACGTATAGATTCTATGTACTAACGTTGTTTATCATCTTAATCACGTGTTATAGTGTTCTTTTTATTTGTCTTTGTATATTTCAGCCTTTACTGTTACACTTTGGTATATACTTTTGGCCTGGCTAGGTATTTATACATCCCGCCATTGTGTTATTGTGCTGTGGTCATTTTGTATTCTTATCTGTCGTTTTTGCTTGTGTGCTTTGTCTATGGAGTGTCTATATGCCATTTTGTTTTTCTTTGTTTAAATAGTTGTTTGTTTTATGGTGATTGGGGTTGTGGCACAGTGTTGACTGCTGTACCCCAACTTTTGGCGTTTTTGCCTGTTGGGTCTGTTTGTTTTTCTCACACATTGTTGTCAATGCAGTGGAATGCTGTATGACTGTAATACAAGTGAGAGGTTTAGCTGCTAAGGAAATGCCTGTACCAAGTCAGGAATATGACAGTTGTTTTCCATTTGTTTGATGTATTTGAGTTTTTGAATGTTCCTTGGAGTTCGGTCTTTTTGTTATTTTACTTTTTTTATAAAGATAAACATGTACATAGAAACAGTTGCAAAAAGAGGGCAGAAAGGGAATAACGTAAAATACAAATGTGAAAACAAAATGAACAAACTAGGTAAACAAATCACACAAACGACGGAATGTCAACGAACTAGGTAAACAAATCACACAAACGACGGAATGTCAATTTAACCAACACAATATTTCATTACCATAATTTGTTTAGGCACTTATCGTAAAACATATTTAATAAGTACATATATATTGACTATTCTTTCAGGTTTGGTTTGGTCAATAAGATCCTCGCGTATACATGCATCAACAGATCTTTGGATTTTCAATGTTTGAATTGGTGACATATGATGATGTTAGCTATAAAAAGAGCCTCGGACGCACTATAGAGTGTTTTTTTTTCCATTTCACTCGTATTTCATTTCTAGATTACAAAATAATAAAAGTGAATTTTATCTACATTTTCAGAAGTTTAACTTGTTGAGTTATTTTCACCACTTTTGGATTGCTGTTATCACAACTTATCTACGTTTTGTATGTGTTGTCCCATTTCTGTCGTTTACTGTATATCTTATTAACGATTACCCATTACAAAATTAATTTTATTGATGTTACCTTCTCACTAAAATCATAAAAGTAATCATAGCTGGAGTTTCTACGGCTACATTAAGGAAAAAGTTTAAATGTCTGTCACCAGCTAGTTGTGTTGATGTAAAGGTTAATCCAAAATAGACTAAAGAATTCGTAAACCTGAAAAAAGATTGAACATTTTTCCATCATTCCTCGTGGCATTTAAGGCAACATCATTAAATGAGCGCTCGCTATATTTTGTAATGACAGGGTAAACGTATACATTTTTATTATAAACATATTAATAGATATTTTCTTGACAACACAATTTCTTTTTTTAATATCCTTCCATTATAAACTATATTGCTATTTAAATTGTCGACATTTACCCAATATTTATATATTTGCTGCTAGATGATGTATGAGTTATTCGGTGTTTGTATTAAGTATTCAATTCCATATATCTTGGTCTGAAGCTTCTATGAAATAAAAGTATTTGTCGAGATACGTACATAAATTCGCACTGCTTCACATTTTCTGACAAGTGAAAACCTTTATACTCATAACTATAAATACCAGGTGAAGGCCATGATCCCAGTAGTCTTCAGCAGTAGCTTATGTTGTAAAATTGTGAACAAGTTTTCTCTGTTAAGGTTTCTGTCCTGTGTGTCTACATTTACTAGTAAATCTTGTTCTTTCAAAGGGGTAGTTATCTCTATCTCGTCCTCCAAAAGAGGCAAAACATCATCAACGTTTACCTTATTGATCCTTGCAATCTTTTTCACCTGCAATCGTGCTTTTTTAATTTTCTTATTTGCTATAAGCCATCTCAATGATTCGTCTAATATCCTACATTGTTTTAAAGAAACTAATGAAAAATCTTGTTAGAATCACAGAATACAGGAAAAATGTTGATTTCACTGGGACCATATCATTTTATCGCTAAATATTTACATACCTCAGTTAATATTATTGAACATTTTTACTTTATACAAATTTATGAAATTAATTTTGGAAATGTTTGCATACGCTAAAACAACAATTCATAAAGTTTATAACCCGGAATATAATAATAGAAAAGATTGTGGTTTCAACAATTGGAACATATCCGTCGTCATTTGTGAAACAGATATTGCATAACGGTCAATAATTGGCGTTATTAAATTTCAGATTTCAGCTTAACCACTTGGAACTTTTGGTTCAATAGCTTCCTTGTAAGCAGCAACCCTGTACCAAGGAAAGCATGATAGGAAATGCAAGCTCTAGAATAACGTATCAAATGAGAGATATATACTCCATATGCAGGTTCTGCTGGAATTTTGCTACTTTAAAATGGAAAGTTAACAATTGGGAAGCTAAAATCATCTCTTTTGTTGTAATGTTTTGTTCACAACCAACCCTCATTGTCAATTTCTAGATGTAAGTCAAGATATGAGGCATACTTAAGTGTATATGTTGTATCCTTTATCTCAAACGGATATAATATAATGAACAGGTATCGGTAGCATTGACTTTATATATATTAGAACTTTCTGTTCAATCATTACTGCAAAGGTCGCAGTTTATTTTTGAAACTTTTAGTTTTCGCGCCAAAACAAATATGTTAACGAAATTGTTCGTTAGAAAACAATTGCTAGTATATCTTCTTGGACTTGCATTAAATATTTTAAGCGTTTTGAATAGTAAGATTCACGAGTGTAAACTATGCAATGTTTTCGGTTGTTAACAATTGTCACAATCAACTACAGACATGAAATAAACTAATCATTACGTATATGTAAGAGAATGATAATCCCTTTCTTCAACGCTCGTACTTATCATGAAGTAAAGGATTATCATTCTCTTACAAACTTAGAATATTGTAAAGTGCTCAAGGCTCAAATGATCTCTTGATTGGTTGTATTCAAGAGTTAGTTTCATTGTCAGTGCAATGTTTATAATTGAAGCATGACTTCCTTTTTCGGCATGTCATTTATGGATTAGTTTTAGTGATGTAAGGACTTTCTTATCATTTGGGAAATATTTTTTAAAAAAATGCGTTATAGATATTACGTGACACAACAGTGCAAAGAATAGGTACAAATTGTATATGTTTCCTGATTGTGAGTATGAATGTAAATCATGTTATATTTTAGTGAGGAATTGTTCTTTCTTTATTTACAGTTTAAATCAATTAATACATTTTAGTTACAACTAAATTTTATTTCACAGCCAATATTTTGGTCCGGCTTTTTACATCAAATACTATTTCATTATGCCAGGGAACGTTCAAATAAAATGCCTTTAAAAGATTTTAATATGCTCAAAACTTAAATTAAGTTCCTGTTTTTTTTTATTTTATCGGAATATTGGAAATAACTATTCTTCCATACCGCTGATCCAATAATCAAAGTTTTGGAAAGCGAAAGATTTGGGTTATTTTTATCTTAAAGCTTTTTGTTTCCTTTTTTTGCATTGCTTTGATATTGTTTAATTTTTTAGTAATTTGAAGTTATTAATATTTTCATAATAAAATTCACGGTACCAATTTTACTGCACCAGTAAACTTCAACTTATTTTGAGTTTTCTGTTTGTTTCCCAATTCAACTTTTAGTCAGTTTCAATCACTGTGTGAAAAATGCTTTCAATCCGATAAATGTGCTTCGGGGCAGTTGTAACTCATTTATAGAAACTCTTTGTTGATACAAATAATAGGATAATCCCTTACTAAGAACATGATTTACATTCATTCTTCACAATTAAGAGGCATCAAATCCTACAATTGCATTGGTCGAGAGCACTTTGCTATATTCTAAATTTGTTTTAACCCATTTCTCTGACGTCAGTCTATTGTTCTTACAGTAGATTATTTTTCAAGAATCCACTGACCACTTCGTTTACTTAAGATAACTTATTTTATAACTTTAAACTTTTAACTTACGATTTTTTATCCTTTCAAAAACGTGAGGCATATGAAGGGTTCGAACTCGCGCGTATTTTCTTCATAATCAGTAGAGTCTTCAGTCTATGCATGATACCACTATACCACGAGTGCTGACATAGATCGATATTTAAATAACACTCTTAAAGCGCACAACTGTCAATACATGTCAATACACTGTATTTCTATCTCAGAGATAATTCGCTTTTGTTATCTAATAAAATATTTATACTATGTCTGGATTTGTTCATGTTCTTTTCAAATTTATGTAAATTGTTTTATGCGTTATTTTTTAAGGAAGATTATGTTCTACATTTGAACGTTCTTGAGTATAGTTATATAGCAGTATGGAAATATCTTAAAAAAGAGTTTATTCACGATGTCAGGTTTGAACATTGGTCGATTTTCAACATCGTTATAATGAACCGATGGGTCTTTATACGATTGTGGCTATTACACACTAGTTCTAAACACTAGAGAATCGAGGAATTGTATATATTAGTACAGTTCCTTGATAAAATAAACCGTGAACCATATGCCCATTACACATGTCACTTTTAACGTACAAGGACTTTTCCTTTTCATCATAGCAAATGCTTACTTAAGGTTTTAGTCTTATAATGATATCGAACTATCAATATTTTCTTCTTTGTTTGATTATAAATGGTCCAAATATACATCACGTCAACATTGAACGTACTCTAATTTGAATAAAGTGTGATATATAAGCTACGACCGTAAAACTACTTCCTTGACTGTAAAACCAGAAACAAAATCATCGCCTTAAAATGAATATGAAGTATATAATACCTCTAAGATTAAAACAATATTTTTGTCGAGAAAAAAATTGCAATGAAAAATTTCAATTCGGGTACAAGGTTTGAACTTGGCACTGCTAATATCACAGTTGTGTCTTTTGATACCAACGACTAGACGATCACGGCTATGAACAGCTTGAATGTAGTAGTAAAAAATTGACATAATTATACATTGTACATCTGTAGCACGAGCAATTCTGCTGGAGATTTAGAATGCGTACCACAGAAAATACTAGTTTATTGACTGGTTTACGATGGATGCCAAATGTAATAACGTTTAAAATAATCTAAACCTAATGAAAGGGAAACAGTTTAAACAAAATACATGTATAATTTTCAAAAAAGACCTCCAGCAATTATTTTATTTATTTCGGAAAGCATCATTTACTTGAGCATCATAAAATTGTAGTATTATGGCAACTCCGCTAAATACATGTATTTGACTTAATACGGTTAAATTGCAGGCAATCCTTAATCAGCTGTAAAGAATCATAGATTTCTAAATACTATATATGTAAATTTGAAAGGTTTCTAAATTTTGGTAATTAGATTTTTTTAACTATTCAAAAAAAGATTAAAAAATTCTGTATATTTACATATGTCTTTTTGAATAAATCATAAATACCAAAATCTATATAATTTAAATACTTTGTAATGATAAATCATTAAATTAAATACAAATATACAAGTATTAAATCTGGTAATAAAAAGGGGAGCTAACAACCCATTTAAGTTATATCAAACTTATGTTAACTTAAAATATAGATGTGAACCGTGTGGATATAATCATTTCCAGCTATTATAGAATAAAAAAGACAAAATACGAAATCATTTTTATGAAATTCCGTTGATTCATTGTCAAAACATAAAACAGACAGTCTTTTTACTAGAAATGGGTTAAGCTAGAGAATTGATAAGAAGTAGTGGATTCGTAAACGATAATCAACTTGCGACTAAAGTCGCTCGTTGATTATCGTTTACGAATCCACTACTTCTTATCAATTCTCTACTACCTAACATCAACATATACAGACCACATATCGATTATCTCGATTCAACAAAAGTAACAGTAATTGAACCGACATATTTTTTCTTATATCAACCAAACTGTGTTTAAGGTGTTCTTCTTGAAAAAATAAGGGTAGGTAGATAATAAGGATTTCTTAAATTTACTAATGGTTTACCTTGGGTGTATATGCAAATTTTGTGTACCACCTGCGTAACAATTCACTACTAAAAGTAATGGACGAGCATTTTGAGGCATATAATTAGGGTATGTGAGAAGCCTGTAATTCAGTGGTTGTAGTTAGTTTCTGTCCGTCATATTTGTTTTTCGTTTATGAATTGTTTCGCATTTTGTTATGTCGGCGCCTTATATAACCGATTATACGGTATGGGTTTTCCATCATTGTTTCAGGGCTATAGTTGCTTAAATCCGCTTCATTTGGACTCTTTTTGATAATAGTCTCACTGGCAATCATACCTTATTTCCTTATTGTCCCCCGCGCGAAGCGTTACGAGGACATAGTAATACTGGGCGTCCGTCTTTCTAGTCTTGTGAGCACTCTCACGTGTACAATTCTTGCCAGATTTGTATGAAATTGATATCAAGAGTTCATATCAGCAAGGTCTCGGTCAAGTTCAAAAATCAGTGTCGATCATTTTTTTAAGAGTTGTGTCCCTTGGAAATAAAAATAATATGGCAAATGGCATTGTAATAAGAGCTTTCAAGCCTACATTTATCTAAGATATATGTAAAAAAGTTTTCATAAACCTAAACAAATATTTTTGTTTAAGTTATTGCCCTTTGACATAAAATATTTACAACGCGAGGAACATTGGAACTCTGTTCTTTTATTTTTATTTTATATAAGTAGGGATACCTAAAACACAAGTTTTTTTTTGCCTTCTTGAACACACAGAACTCGGCATAATGGTAAAAGGAAAACACATCAAAAAGCTTTATTTGTTTATCTTGCTTACCAAAAAGTAGCAATTGCATGGACTCCACTCAGTCCAGATACCATCTGTACATATCTCCAGTTTAAGTTTCGCATGAAATAACCGACTGCAGCTATACCAATCATACTTGTTCCCCACCCAAATGACCCAAGAGCGCTCACAAATCCACGATTTTCTCTTGGGACTTGTTCCAGTAGATAAACAGCCATTGTTAAGCCTACTCCCTAGATAATTTATATTTACACAATATGTTACATACATAATAAGTACCATAGACA